GGGGGGTGGGCGTGGGGGGGGGGGGGGGTGCGGGGGGGGGGCGGGGCGGGGGGGGGGGGGGGGGGGGGGGGGGGGGGGGGGGGGAGTGGGTCCAAATTTCTACCCCTAAACACTTCAACACTCCTTTTAGATCGTGTTTCACAAAAAGGTTCTTAAATTGGTACCCAAATCTAGAACCCTAAAAAGTTCAGTCGGCCAACTTTTTTTTTTACAGAGTAGAAGGATTGTTTCTTATTGATTTACACGTTAGCAAATTCTACTGTAACGAAAATATTCACAGAGTTTTTTCTCAAATGAAAGTTATAAAAAAAAATCATTAATATTTCAAGAATCTCCACAATTCTTAAACATATTATTTCACAATATTGAAGGGTTAAAAAATAATTTTAATGCATTTAAAAATCATCATCTAACCGAGAAAGCACATTTTATTTATTTAACAGAAACATGGTTACGTGATAATACTACTCTAAATAAATTCGAAATGAATGGTTATAATCTTATTCATAAATCAAGATTATCTTCATTTTCAACTTTCCATCCACTCAATTCTCAGAAAGGCGGTGGTATTGCTACATATATTCGAGAAACATTTCCTATTAAAGAAATACAATCGAATAAACATTTAAACCTGGAACATATTACTTTCGAAATTGAAAAAACACAAGATTGGGATCGTTACTTGTTATTGATCACCACAGCAAAGTAAAAACGAGTTTTTAATTAACTTAACTGAGTATTTAAAAGAAATCGATATTGGAAAGCACATTATTCTTATTGGTGATTTTAATGAAAACACACTATCTAATAAATCAAAAACTATTGAAAAACAATTAAACATTTTAGGATTTGTAAATATGTTTAAAGATTTAGCTACTACAAACAGCTTAACTAGTATTGACTTTATCTATTCAAATTTCGTATCAAATAAAGATGAACACCATACGGTACCCTAGTCGAACATCTTGTAAGTAAGATCTTGGTCAAGATCTTGGGTACAGATAAGTGAACAGATCTTGAAAATTTAGGTACAAGATAATAGGATTATCTTGTACCCAAGATCTGTAGTCAGATCTTGGGTACAGATGTGTAAGATCTTAGCTACGAATCCATAAGATCTTGAATACACTAAGATATAACGTGTTGCACGTGTCATGATGGTTCGAATTTATCGCACAGCCAATTTTTTATTTTTTTCTGCAAAAGAAAGTTATAATATTTTTGGAATTTATTTTTATTTTAATTATTTTTATCCCGAATAATTCAAGCAAGTCATATGCTGGAATTGGACTAGCTTTGAATTGGCCCGATCTTCGTCAGACCACTTCAGGGTAGTCCTATCTCGATCATCGATCGAGATCAGCATTTTCTCGAATATCAATAGTCGAGAAATAATTTAGAAAAAAAAATTATTTTCAAAATTTATGTTTTGTATGTTCGATCATATCGTTTATATACCGCTATGTGCGCATAAAAAAACGATGAATGACTAGTCAGCATGTAATAAATACACAAATGATGTCGCTTTTTGTTTTACTCAAGATCTTGTGAGAAGACAATAACAAACGATATCTTTTTCATGATCTTGCCTAGATCTTAGGTACAGATTTATGTGATACAATCAGAAAATGTACATACAAATTATCTTTGCAAGATCTTGATAAGATCTTGCTAATCGATCCCAAGATTTCAAGATCTTGCTTGCAAGATGTTCGACTAGGGTAGTTGGCACATTCTATAGCTTTCATGGTGCATTAAGTTTCTGTGTAAATTTTCAAAATAAAATCTCAAATGTGAATGTTGAGAACAAATTAGTTGTTGAAAATGAAATAGTAACTGAGAGTTTGTTTGAAAAATTCTTTGACATTCCTCAAATTCCAGAAAAAAATTATAAACGCAAAACAAAATCAACAGAAAAATTACAGATACATCATCACAGAAGAAAGCTATTTAAAACAGATACGAATAAAACGAAATGTTTAAAAGAAAAACAATTACTATTTCTTAAAAATTTAAATGTTATAAGAGATAAAAGCATATTAGAAAAATTCTCAAATGAATTGAATTTATCCCAACAACTTGCAAATATTGGTTTAAAAATAATTAATATATTAGCAGATGGAAATTGCTTTTTTCAAGCAGTTTCGCATCAACTTCATAGACACGAGAGAGATCACGTCAATATTCGTTCTATATCAATCAACTATCTCATTGAAAATGGAAACGAATTTGAGTGTTTTATTGATGAACAATATACAACAATAGAGAACTATATTACAAGAATGAGTCGAAACTCAACATATGCTGATTACCTAGTAATTTCAGCAACAGCAATAGTTCTAAATAAAAATATTATTATACATGAATTAGGTAAAATGCCTATATTGATTCCCGCATCAGATTTCATTGAACATCAGTTACATATATGTTATCATCCTGATATTTTGCGTTATGATAGTGTTTTATCATTTGATGATAACTCTGCGTTTCTTTCTACTGAAAATATTTTAATAACTTAATTCTTTAAAATGTAAAATATGCTACTACCTATATTTAATTGTAACTCTTTTAATTCACACTTATATGTAATTTCAATTTTTTTTTCATTTCATTATGTTTTATAATACTTGTTTATTTTTATCTTTTAATCTTCATAAAATTACATCATTTATGAATACATGTAGTAACAGTGTTCAATGAAAAAAAAAACAAAAAAAAAATGTTCTATCTGTATACATCTCAGTTATGCGCCACTACATTGGAAAACTTTATTACATTTCTTTTAATTATTCCTTCAAATAATCTCATTAAAAGCAATTTCATCTATCACTCGCGCAAATTCTTCAACATTTAATCATTTAAATATACACTCGAGACGACAAGTAAGTAATATTTCTGTTTAAAAAAAAATTATGCTACGTTTGTTATTTTGAGTACTACAACTTAAATCCATAAAATATCGTCTAAAATAAAATCTAGAAAAAATTAATAGAAATTTCTAAAAATTACTTTTCACTATGTCCAGCTACAATTACATTTCTCGGATACAATATACTCTTCTTAAAACAAACAAACCAGTTATTCATAGAGTCTTTCACAGAAATACATAATAACTCTAAAGAAATATTTACTTATTTTTTTGTTCCCAAAAGAAAAGAATAGCTACTTCTTATCCTTTATGATAAAAATAAATATTCCAAATCAATTTTCAAATTAAAACAAAAAAAAAAAGATCACAACTTTTTAAGTTAATACAATGGCCACTAACTATTCGAACAATGAAACAATAATGGGTTACATTACAAATATATCAAATGAAAATAAAAAAATATTTTATAAAATTCACAATATTAGCTGAAAATAATGAAATAATTAACGGTTGGGTTTTTAATAACATAACTGGTATTTTATCAACACCACTTGGTTTAGCTTTGAACAATTCATTAAAAAATAAAACTGGTTTAAAACTATGGGGATCACTTGAAAGTAATAATGATAAGTAAAATATATTGTACATATAATTTTGAGTGAAAATCAAAGTAAACAATAAAAAAAAACATTTATGTGAAAATTAGTTTTGGCAGATATTTATTAAAAAAAAATGCATACTATATTTGTATATACATGTTCAATTAAGAAAATACATAAATAGATATACGATATCGATAAATAAATAAACGATGTTTAGTGGAAAAAATTGTTATCCAATCATAAGCATTAAAAAAAGGCTTAATTAAATTTATTCTTCAAATAAAATAAAAAAATAAAAATAAAATAAAACATCTCTATTTGTGATAGTTAATATAAAATGTTTCATATCATATGCATGAAAAAAAATTAAAAGCTATTCAAAAGAAATAAAATTTTTTTTTTTATGTAATACAATTGATGAAATTATTTATAATAAATAATTTACTAGGTACATCAACTTTTCGTATGCAATCATGGTCAAAATATTATTCGATTAATCTCAACTTTTATCTTCAAACATCATCAAATAATATTATATCTATAATAGATGCATTAACAAGTAATGAATTAACTACAATTCGTGTGTCTGTAATTTATATTCGACCGTCGGAAAACTATACAAGTAAAGGAATACCACGAACATCTACATTTATATTAATTGAAGATCAAACAGCTACATGTTACTTATCAGCAATCGATTTATCACCCGGTTTATTTGAAATACAAAAAACATATGATATTACAAAAATTCATAAAAAAATTTTTAATGGCTCTTATTTATTGACAACTACAATCGACACTTATATATCATCATCTAATACAGTAAAAAAATTTACCATTTTCATATAACAAAATAATTTCTTTTTTTATCTTTAGACAGTAATGCCTAATATTGGTAATGTTATACAGAAACAATGAATATGAACTTAAACGATCAAAATACAGTCACAACAACTATAAACGAAGTCGGTGAAATTCGACGATTATACAACTGCGCCACATGTCAAGATGATTTAAATGAAGTCAAAAATGCTGCTGCATTGTTACATTGTAAAAAGTGTCATCGACATATTTTGAAAGTCAACGTTACATTACATGTATCTACTACAATAGTACTATAAAAAGGTATATTTTTAAAAATTTTTAATCCATATTTTAACTATCAAAATTTACCTTTATTTAGGAGAAGAAAAAATTATTTTACTCGTTAACGATCAAATATTTTATCAATTACTTAATATAATTGGTGTAACAATTAACATGGCTGATACAGATATAGTATTTGCTATGATGTCCAGTACCAACTTAATTTTCGAATATAGTGAATTACGTAAAGAATTACTTGCAGTTACAAAATCAAATTAAAAAGATAACAATTAAAGTACGTTTATAATCATATCAAATTAACTCATCAATATGAATAATTATTTTTATTTTCTAGAAAAAAAAATACAACTAGAAAAAACCTTAATCACTCGTCCATTACAATATTCACCAACATAGTGTTTTTTTTCACAGTACATTTTTTTTTCTTCAATTATACTTAATACATTATATTAAATTAAAATATATAAAACAATAACTGAAATAATAATAAAATATAATTAAGATTAATCATATCAATTTCAGATATACAAACACTAGATCATTTTTATATTTTCAAATATAATGGAAACATCAACATTAAATTCAACATCATCTGGATCCATTTCAACTAATATATCGACAGCAAATTGTATTATTACTGGTAAAACATTTTTCAAATATAAATACTAACTTATATTATTACTCATTACTTTAGAAAAAAGTATAATCGGCACAGTTGTTACTGTTAACAAATTAAAACATTATGCATTTATTAAAAGGTTCGCTTTAATTTCAATAACTTCTAAAACCTTTATTTGATTTAGAAACGATAATGATTTACATCAAGATATATTTGCACTTGATGTCTCAATAAAACAAAATCAACATAAACAAGTATTTTTCATTGCTGATCAATGTAAATTCGATATAAAAAAAAGTGAATTATATTTTACCTATTACCTTGAAAAAAAAGGGTACCATAAGAAATCCCAAAGGTATCCGATTTTTGTAACGAAATAGAAATCCTTTGAGGTTTCGTAGAAATTGGGTGTCGTAAAAAGCCTTAATTTTTAATAACTAATAACAAGGGTTTCGTACTTTGTATTCCGTATAATTCACCACGCAATATTGAATGAAAGATTCGCCGGGTGCTATGCTCCATTATGAAAGTAGTTTTTCATCAATATCCACTGCAAAACACACCCACTCTCTAAAAAATACCCGGGTTCTATAGAAACCACCAGGAAAGATGTCTGAGAATCACTGTATTCTGTAGGGAAACACAGGGTATCGCTGGAACATAGAAGCAGTATTCCGACCGCAAACTTAAAATTTTTTTTGAATAATTTCCACCGCATCATGCTGAAAGGCATTGCAAGTTGGTCGGACCTCACTAGATAAATCAGGAAAATTTGTGACCGTGATACTGTTTCCATGTTGCACCAATACCATGTGTTTTCCTACAGAATACGGCGACTTTCAGACTTATTTTCTGCCAGTTCCTTCAGATTCCGGTGTGTGGAGCGATTGGTATGGGATGTTTCATCTAAAAAGAAATAAAATAATTCATCAGCTTTTAACTTTCAAAATCGAACTCACCCTTATTATTTGTTCAACTTCAACTGTCGCTTGATCTAAATAGAAATAATATATTTCATCAGATTGTATTTTTTTAAGTCAAACTCAACATTAATATTTGTTCATCGGGCAATCGATCTAAAGAGAAATAAAATATTTCATCAAGTTTTAAGTTTTAAAGTGGAACTTACCATTACCATTTGATCAAATGACGCTTGCTCTAAATAAAAATTAAAAGCGTAACTATCGCCTCTTCCACTCACTTCACCTCGGCTGAATAGATTAGAAGTATTTTCGTTCTATACTGATATCGATAGGACCGATCTATCAATTCTAACCCTGAATACCGACTCACAGGCCTCCCGAATTGTAAATACTCAAAAACAGTTTCCTTGTAAAATAGTTGTAAGCGAACGCATCTTAAACCTAAACGCTATAAACAAAGCAAACTATCAAAATCTACGTAGGCTTTAATTATTAAACTCTTTTGCCAAGAAACAATACTATGATATTATGAGTCGCTAATGTATGGTTACGCAATGTCCATCGCATCTTTAGGAAAAACTTTTATAACAACGATGATAAAATTGATTTTCGATGGACCGAATTTCTGACCAATGAAAGCTTCGATCGAATACATGATAACATATTCGGACTCCTGGACATCGATAACCTATAACAAACTTTGAACAGAATTGAGAGGGGAGTTGAAATAAAAGAGTCCACCTTATGAATTTTGGACTTGTGATCGGCGGAGTTTCTCATTAATGAAACATCTCAGAGTAAAACTGATAACATATTCGGACTCCTGGACATTGATAACCTATTGTAAACTTTGATCAAAATTGAGAGGGGAGCTGAACTGAAAAGTTTAACTCTGGAGCCATTGATTGTTTGATGGATCTAATTTCTGACCTATGGGAGCTCGGATTGAGCAGATGGTGTCAGATTTGGATTCCTGAACCTCAATAATCTATTTCAAAGTTTCGTCAGAATTTAGAACGGAGGTGAAATGAAAAATCGGACTTTGGAGGGGTCCAATTTTTAATGTATCCTGTTTGATGATAGAAAAAATTCATCTGAAATGATTAGAACCGAGGTCATGTTGTCTTTTGTAAAGCATTCAAGATTTTTTAAGCTGTGACCCTTTTAAAAATTTTTAAAAACTCTGAAACCGGTTTTCTACATGCGTGTGAATCGAGTTCTTTGGAAATTCTGAATGGTAAAAAAAAGAAATTATTTTGAATGGTGATTTCCCGATGGATGAATTTTACGCGAGGTATATTACGAAACCTTTTTGAATACGAAACTCAAAAGGGTTTTTGATCAAACCTATGGAGTAATATAAAATTCGAAGGGTTCAGTACGAAATCTTTTTATATTTTAAAACTCTTTAGAGTATTTTACAAAACCTTGGATATTGCTAAACCTCATACAGGTTTCGCATGATTCTATGGGCACGTATATACTATAGTAAAACTCCACAAAACCTCATAGGTTTCGTGTGGCACCTTTTTTTCAGTGTACACATTGTTTCAATACTCAGTAATCTTTTTACTTATAGCATCACGAGGTTTTGAAGCTATCAACATCAGTATTATAAAACTTAATATTGATAGTACCAAAAAAATTAAAAAAAATTCCAAAAAAAAATTATGTGTACAAAAAAGATTCATATGCATTATTTCAATCAACAAGGTAAAAGCTTTTTTTTCTATTTTGTTTTTTAATTTTTCTTATATTTCAGAACTAACTTATTTCGTGAAGCTTTAAAATAAATGAAAAATCATCTAACATCTGCTCGTCAAACAAAACTTGCATCATTGAAAGAATCAAATTTATTCATTCAATTAACATAAACTTCATTTTTTTTCTTATGCATTGTTTTAAAACTTTATACGCATAAAATTAATATATTAAGCCTGTCAAATAAAATTACATGACTCAATAAATTGATTATTATAGTTGCACAACTATATTGTGGTTCTTTTTTTTAACTAAAAAGAAAAAGATATTTAACAATACTATATACCAAAACATGACTACTTCGAAAAAAGACTTAATCAATACCAGCACAAATATAATTCATTTCCTAAAGAAAATAGTTCTTTTTAAATTTGCGAATCTGTGCTTCGAACCGCATTTCGTCTTCAGGTCGAAACTCGAATACCGTCTAGTTTTACTTTTACTTTCTCGACGTACGCATATCAAATCGTTGTTTTGTTGCGCAACAATCTCAAGAACAGAAAGTCAGAAAACTTCCGTTGAAACGTGAAGTGAAAGTATCGAGACCGAAGCTGGAACATCTTTCGTCAAATAATCCTAAAGACCTCAAGTGTTCTCAAATACTGGCTTCCAAAAACATGATTTTGACAAAAGTTTGTATTGAGATAATTAAAATGAAAATTGAAAGACAAGTTAGGCGCCATTCTTTTTCTTTGAATATAAGACAGCTGTGATACAGCTGATTATAGATAATGAATTATTGAGATAATTAATTGTTCAATAAATAAAACTTTCTAGAGATCTTTCGATACGTTTTAGTAGAGTTTCTCAAGTGATAAATTTCATAACGGATGTCTTTCATATCCGATCTCAGTCGTATCAGCTGCTCGATGATTCCATTTCGATTCGAAATTCGTTTTTCGGATTCTCGACCCATGTGCTTCGCAACGCATTTCGTATTCGAGAGAATCTCGAATACCATCTAGTTTTTCTTTTACTTTCTCGACGTGCGCACATCGAATGACTGTTTTGTGTCGCGATGATCTGAACAACGGAAAATCAGAAAACTTTCGTGGAAACGCGAAGTGAAAGAGCTGAGACAGAACGTGTGAAATCTTTAACCAACTCATCAAAAAGACCTTTAGTCCTTTTACGTATTGGGTTCCAAAACGTCGTTTTTAAACAGTTTCAGCTTTGAGATAATTAAAATCAAAAAAAATAAAACAAAGTTAGTATCCCAAATGAGCACGTGGCTTCTTCGGATTACGCCAGTCGATATCACGTCATACGATGCTAAGAAGCACATTATCCCAACGTGATGAGACTACTCAGAAAAAAAAGGAGTACAACAGAACCTTTTTAGGGGTTCTGCGATCGGGTAAAACACAGAACCCTCACAAATGGTTCTGCATGAAAAAGGGTTTTGTAGTCAACTTCAAAAACCATCTCATACTCCTCATGAAAAATGGTTCTGTATGCGGAAAAGCACATCCAAACCTGCATCATTTCTCGAAAGGCTGCAGCGAATTCATCGTAAACGGTTTTTTAGTCCACAACCACGCCTTCACAAAGTGTCATATCATCCAACGTCGATAATTGTACGTATGAGATTCGATTCGCGCTTATGACTCATTTCCTAATGAGTTACAGCGCTTTCCTAAACTCATAGCACTATTATGAACAATAATCATTATACACGAAGGAAAGCACATCAGAAATCTGAACCAAACGTAATTCTATCACAAATGACGCCTCGTTTGAACCTAAAATAAAAAATCATTTATTAGATTATTCATATTACTAAACATCACTTACCATTCATACCTTGTTTGATAAGATCTAAAATAAAAAAAAGTCGTTTATTAGATTGTTTAAATTCATAACTTTCACTTACCATTCATATCTTGCTTGAGCTGAACTTAAAATAAAAATAAGATTTATTAGATTGTTTATATTGATAAATATCACTTACCATT